ACGTTAAATGGTATAAGAGATGTCTTAATTATAATTTCAAGAGGTCTTACAGTTGGGGAGGAAAGACGAGAGTGTGATACGGCTGGATTAACCATCACTGTGTGCAGCTGTTACCGGGGAAACGCCTAAAGCGCCACCTCGTGGCAGAGAATGAATCTGCATTTCCAACAAGCCTTTCTTGCTGTTTATGGTCAGATCAATGCAAATATCAACTCATGTTTTTACACCGCAAACACACAGAGCTGTAAACGAGAAAGACGTTAATGTGCCTTCTAAAAATCTAAACAATTGAGACCGTAATATTTATGTGTTTTAAATTAACAATTTATATGCTTGATTTATCCCTTTTCATCAAAATGGTCTACAGGCTTAAAACGCTGTTGTGTAGGATTTTAGTTTTGGTGAAAAGCTGTCTGAACTGTAAATCATGTCAGTGTATGGCTCAGTACTGTATGTAACCACACATTGTCCAAGCACACTCACACCGGGTTCATTTGACTTCCGCAGCTCTTAAAATGGGTCATAAATTGCCTTAAAATCTTTTTTTTTAATTCTGCAGAGACCCTGTAAATAGTGAAATAAAATTCCTTCCTTCATATTTGTTGATATTTGTGTATTGAAAATATTTCTGATTGACATTTAAACTATATATATATATATATATATATTTTAATTTTTTTTTATTTTTTTTTTTTAAAAAGGTCTTTTTTTATTTGGGCTAGTTAAATTAATCTTCAGGCTACCAAATTTTGAAGAGCACTGAAGGGCTGCCAGGGATTTTGAGTAGTAGTATATATATATATATACAGTGGGTACGGAAAGTATTCAGACCCCCTTAAATTTTTCACTCTTTGTTATATTGCAGCCATTTGCTAAAATCATTTAAGTTAATTTTTTTCCTCATTAATGTACACACAGCACCCCATATTGACAGAAAAACACAGAATTGTTGACATTTTTGCAGATTTATTAAAAAAGAAAAACTGAAATATCACATGGTCCTAAGTATTCAGACCCTTTGCTCAGTATTTAGTAGAAGCACCCTTTTGATCGAATACAGCCATGAGTCTTTTTGGGAAAGAGGTATATATATATATATATATATATATATATATATAAAATAAAATGTGTTTTTTTCATTGACGATTCTAAGACTGTAACTCAGACTTTTCTTTACAATTTAAGACGTTTGAGACATTTTATGGCCTTAAATTGTAACTAATTGTGAGAAATCTAAACACAGGTTTTGCCAAAAAAACCTTACCGTTTAAGATGTTTAAAATACTTTGTCGTTAAATGTAAACGAACTGTGTTCAAAATAGCGCGGGGGGCTTCAGCTGTCAGACTGAGTGTTGTGTTAGTCAGACGGTCACCTGATCAGCCCTGGATGCTCTGCGCTGTGCTGCTCCCGTAGCCACCTTTAGACTTCATCTGCGTCTGCACCGAGTTCCCCTGCTCCACACACACACTCACACACAGACACAGTCTCGTCATCATGCACATGCTGCTTACTTGTGTGAAAACACACATCTCACCAAACCTCACGAATATTTCACCCTGAAGACAGTGACTGAATGTATTTAATAACAAAATATAAACAATACTATATAAATACAACAACATTTTATCATTTTTATTATATTTAGTAAGTATGCAACAATGCTTTACATAGATAAAGGATTATTGCATTTTTCATTTTAATTTAATTTCAAATTAAATTACAAAAACTGCACAATTCCCTTCTAATTTCTACTTAAGAAGCAAAAAAACAGCTTCATGCATTTATGTAAGTTTGCTGTTGTTTTTGTTCTTTGAGTTGAGATTCAGCGAGAGTCTGTTTTTATCTTTATATCTGTGTCCCTGCAGCACAGAAGCAGTGTTAAGTCGCTGGGGGATATTTGTAGCAATAGCCAACAATACATTGTATGGGTCACAATTATACATTTCTCTTTTATGCCAAAAATCATTAGGATATTAAGTAAAGATCATGTTCCATGAAGATATTCTGTACATTCCGTACCTAAAACGTAATGTTTGATTAGTAATATGCATTGCTAAGAACTTCATTTGAACAACTTTAAAGATGATTTTCTCAATATTTAGATTTTTTTGCACCCTCAGATTCCAGATTTTCAAATATTGTGCTATCCTAACAAACCATACATCAATGGAAAGCGCATTTATTCAGCTTGTGACAGGTTTTGTGTTCCAGGGTCACATACAGTGGGTACGGAAAGTATTCAGACCCCCTTACATTTTCTGGTTGCAATTGAGGGAAAGATGAATGCGGCCAAGTACAGGGATATCCTGGACGAAAACTTTCTCCAGAGTGCTCAGGACCTCAGACTGGGCTGAAGGTTTACCTTCCAACAAGACAATGACCCTAAGCACACAGCTAAAATAATGAAGGAGTGGCTTCACAACAACTCTGTGACTGTTCTTGACTGGCCCAGCCAGAGCCCTGACTTAAACCCAATTGAGCATCTCTGGAGAGACCTAAAAATGGCTGTCCACCAACGTTTACCATCCAACCTGACAGAACTGGAGAGGATCTGCAAGGAGGAATGGCAGAGGATCCCCAAATCCAGGTGTGAAAAACTTGTTGCATCTTTCCCAAAAAGACTCATGGCTGTATTAGATCAAAAGGGTGCTTCTACTAAATACTGAGCAAAGGGTCTGAATACTTAGGACCATGTGATATTTCAGTTTTTCTTTTTTAATAAATCTGCAAAAATGTCAACAATTCTGTGTTTTTCTGTCAATATGGGGTGCTGTGTGTACATTAATGAGGAAAAAAAATTAACTTAAATGATTTTAGCAAATGGCTGCAATATAACAAAGAGTGAAATTTAAGGGGGTCTGAATACTTTCCGTACCCACTGTATATAATCATTGCAGTTAATAGTGTTCACCGTGGGTTTGATTACATGACATTAACTAACTGCTTGAGTTCTACTGTGCATTTTGAGATTGTGACTGTAAAGCTGCTTTGCAATGATTTGCATGTTGGAAAGCGCTATACAAATAACCTAGACCTGAAGTGAAGGTGTGGTGTTACTCACAGCTCCCAGGCCCATGTCTCCGGAGCCCACGTGTGTCATATGAATGAAGTTTGTGGGTTCTCCGATCATCGAGCGATCGATCCTCCGCCTCCGCTTCTGCAACACACACGGAGAACAGAGAGAGTGCCACACACTCAACACAACACACACAGCTCGGAGTCTCGTCAGTGTTTGTGACTCACGGGTTGCGGCTGCTCAGCGACGCAGCAGCTGAAACACACCCAGAACTCCGTCATGCTCCTGCACTTCCTCCGGCTCGCTGCTCACTTCCTGTGCTGCTCTCGCTCTCGCCCTGCGTCCGAACACACACACGTCACGCTGGATCCCCCTGAAACACACACACACACTTTCACTGCTCCTCATAGACTTCATTATTTGGATGCACAGATAATACTAACAACACATCAGCATGTTACACTGATTTCTGAAGATCATGTGACGCTGAAGACTGGAGGAATGATCACAGAAATATATTATATATATATATACCCACTGAAGAGGAGTGTTTGTACTGCTCAAATACACTTTAGCACTCTTTAAACATTTAATAGAAACCTGTAGATTATAAAGAACATGAAATTAAAACTGAAACTTGGGAATGTGGACACGCAGAATCAGAAATGAAAGCGTTTCTGGGCAGAAGTGCCCTCGTGATGAACTCATCTACGTTAGTTAGCTTATAAGTTATATAAGGTTATATAGTTATAAGGTAAAGTCTCTAATCTATTTGATTATAAACGACACAAACACTGGACTAATCCTGACCACACCTGAGCTCCACGACACAGGAGCAGCCTGGTTAGACGAGGAATGGCCGTTCACAGCTGTTTCACTCACTGAAGGCTGTTAAGCACTACACGAAGCGTTTATAATCCTCTAATATTAATAAACATAAACAGAGACGCGCAGCAGGAAACCTCAGCCACAAACTAGCATGCTAGCAATCTAACAAGCTCTCGTACAGCGCGGCTAGAGAACCCAAATCAAAGCTGGAGTCGATAAAACACGCTTTAATAACACAGGTCGCGCTTACGATGACTATTTTTTGTGATAAATGTGTAAATAAAGGTGCGAAGCCTTACCTCGAGCACTTCCTGAAAGCGTCTGTCAGAAAGCCGATAGTGGCTCCGCCCTCTTCCGCCACTGTCCGCCGCAGTGCATCTCGGGACTTGTAGTTCTGTGTTTTGATAGCTCTCACTTGCGTGCGCCGCATTAACCTCAAATCTTGTTTAACGACATTTTCACTTTAATGAACTAAAACAAGAAAAACCGTCCGAATTTACATGAACTCTAGAGAATTTTACCTGATGTAAAAGCGCACCTTATCCACCAGGGGGCGATATATATGTATGTATGTATATGTGTGTGTGTGTGTGTGTGTGTGTGTGTGTGTGTGTGTGTGTGTGTGTGTGTGTGAGTGTGTGTGTGTGTGTGTGTGTGTGAGAGTGTGTGTGTGTCCGCTCCGAGGGAAATATTAATATAGTGTCTGTCTCTCAGAGACGTAAACACTAAGAAAACAACATTATACAATAACAGGTATATAAGGATTTGGGTGAAGTTAAGTTACAGCGTGTGAGTTATGTTTAATAAATAGAGCTGAGCACACTTCAGGATATCCGGAGAAATATACTTCCGTTAAAACCTTATATTCAATCTAATATTTATTCATTAATAACTTTTTAAAACTTTATTTATTTATTGAGAACACAGTATACAACGGTTTCTGATTGATTGCTGAATTTACAACGATGAATATGAAACGTAAGAAGTATAATCGAGAGATTGTCAGTAATGTATTCCACTGCAGAGGACGTCATCAAGCACCATTCGACCGGCCCACTCAGGGGCGGGGCTTCTGAGGATCCTGCGCTCTGATTGGCTGAGGGCGGTCTCCGCTGCGTTTATATAGCCAATCAGCGCGCAGCAGCGGGTAGTGTCTCAGCAGCAGCGAGCGCTCGAGGCTCTCTCTGGAGGAAGATCGCGAGCCAGCGCCAGCGTCCAGCTTTCGTTCAGAGCCATGGAGGAGTCGAGCAGCTGACGGTTCCTTCACCTTCTCTTTCCACGCGCTCCTTCGTACGCTCATCGATCCGGTGTTGGTGCTATTAACGAGTTTCCCCACATCGACGCGCGTCTGACTCGGTTTGAGGATGAAGTTCATCATCGGGATCGGAGGGTGAGTGAGCGAGTGAGCGCGTGCAGGCCGCGTGGAGAAGGAAATCTCCATAGTAACAGTATTTCAAACTGTAACGGCCAGAATGACGGTTAGCGCGATGTTTAAATGGCGGGAGGGAGTTTAGGCGGGAATGTGTAAACAGATTTTTGAAGCGGTTTTTAATTTTTTTTTTTAGAATAATTACAATTATGTAATAGTAACCGTAATTTTAGCGGAGTCCACGGTTACCGTGGTAACATCTTACCGCGGAACGTTTATTGCTTTATTTAATAGTGTATTCCATTGTGAGCCTGTAATGTGCGTTAAAGGTACAGTTCACCCAAAAATTAAGATTATGTCAGTAATAGCTACGTTTCCATCCAAAGATTCGAATTAAACTTAAGCGCAAAACTGTACTATCACATAAAACATATTCGGTAAATGTGTTTCCATCGTAGTTTATGCACATCTTTTTGTTCGCGGTTAAAAAGTTTATCCCACTCAAATGTGCGCATACGTTTATTTACGTGCATTTGTAGAATTTATGCGCATCTTGGCGTTTCCATCTAGCGTTTTTTTTTTTAATGCGATATTCCAAAATGCGCATAAAAATAGGTGGATGGAAACGCAGCTAATAGCTATGTTCCCATCACCCCGCATTTTGAAATATCGCATGAGAAACGAGTGATGGAAACGGCAACTTTCGAAGAAAAAATCACTTAATTCGAAAAACGTTTTTACGCTCGCTTGAGGTGGTTTTTGTCTTGTGCGAAAAAGGCGTATAATGGGAGATGGAAACGCATTTGCCGAATAAATTCCTCCATGCGCCTCAAAGTCATGTGATTTGCGCGATGGGACGGGAAAACTCGACTAGCATCTCGTTGCGCAGCATCTGTATGTCGTTTTGGTCGTTCTGAAATGCCTGCGCAAAGTCCGTCGTCAAAGTATTTCTGTATAACTATCTTACACGACTGCGTCCCAAACGGCAGCATCCGCCTCCGAAAGCAATGACCGCGGATTCATCGTTTCGTCTGCGACGCGAGTAGTTCATCCTATATAATAAATTATTATACACCGTGGCTTCTCCTAGTTTTCTTAGTGATGTTTAGTTTATCAGGAAGTGACGATTTTGTTCGTTTAGACGCGTTGGATGGAAACGGTGCTTATTCGCAAATGTTTTATGCGACGTTTAAATTTTGCGCGTTAGATAAATTCACAATTTTGGATGCAAACCCAGCTATTGACTCTCCCTCAAGTCGTTCCAAACCTGCACACGTTTATTTCTATTACTGAACGCAAACGAAGTTATTTAAAGAACGAAGTTGACGGTAGCCATTGACTTCCATAGTATTTGCTCCCGTACTATGGAAGTCGGTGGCTACCGTCAACGTGACGGTGAGTAAATGTTGATTTTTGCGTGTACTGTTGCTTTAAGGCGTGGCACTTTATGTCTCGTGTCATCGGCACCGAAATAACAAGATACACGTTTAAAATAAACCCGTAACACGTGTGTTTCCGTCCCACAGGGTCACGAACGGTGGCAAAACGACACTGACGGACCGGCTGATCAAGAGCCTGCCTAACTGCTGTGTGGTCCATCAGGATGACTTCTTCAAGGTCAGTATAATCCGAAAGCAGAGCGCGGCAGAGGTCAGAGGTTACGAGTGTAGCGGTGGGAGGGTCAGTGTTCTGGAGTGCGTCTCATTGGTGTATGTTTCAGCCCCAAGATGAGATCGAAGTTGATGAAGATGGCTTTAAGCAGTACGATGGTAAGCGGGGGTTGGTGCGTGTGTTTCTGCATGTCTGGCGATCCGCGCCGTGTCCTTGCGCTCACGTGTGCGTGTTCTCCTCCGCAGTCATCAGCGCTCTGGACATGGACGCCATGATGAGCACCATCCACGCCTGGCAGCACGACCCCGTCAAGTTCGAGCGATCCCACGGCGTCAACAACTCGCTGGACTCGGAGATGCTCCCGCGCGCTCCGGACGAAGGCGTTCACGTCCTGATCGTGGAGGGGTTTCTGCTCTACACCTACAGGTGAGCGCCGCGTGCACGCTAGTGTTGGGCGAGATGCTCCATTAGCAGTCCTATCGTTAGCCTGTGAGATCGCCGCTACACGGTATTATCATGCTGATTTATTTAATTATTCACTTAAGGTCGTTGCACACACCGAGTCGGAACATTTTTTTAATGCTTGCTGCGGATGCGAAAACACAGAAAATTAAACCTGGTCCGGATTGACGGATGGAAGTTTCGAAGGCAGTGTGTAAACGTGGTACAACGCGAGGTCATATTTATTTATTTTAATGTATTTTAAACGCCTCTGATTGGCCGTTGCGTTCATAAACTCAACGGAATCGTGTGTGATTGGTTATAATGCGCAACACTGTAAAAACACAGAAAAATGAAACCAGCCGTAATGCTATCGTCTATCAGCACAACCCTAATACACGCGTGTTCGATTGACGCTTTTACTGAACACTGTTTTCTTTTGCGCAGACCGTTGATCGATGTGTTCAACCAACGATACTTTATTTCCATTCCATACGAAGAGTGCAAAAAGAGGAGGAGGTGAGTGACTCCCGCTGCGTCTGCCGGAGCGGATGAAGGTCCAGCATGCACCTGATCTCACATCTATCTGTGTTTCAGTTCAAGGAACTATTCCGTGCCGGACCCACCCGGTCTGTTCGACGGACACGTGTGGCCCATGTATGTCAAACACACTAAGATCATGGAAGACTCCGGGGTTGATGTCGGTAAGCGCTGAATCTCGTTGGAAGTCTGTGCAAAGTTCGCATTACGCACGTTATGTAATCAGATAAGTGACTAGTAAAGCTAGGCGTTAGTTTTTAATTTACAAGAAAATATAAGAGTTACTGTTTCAAATAAGTAACAGCAGTTACTTTGTTTCCATGTGTTGAGTGACAGCTCTGGTGTTGCCGTGGTGACAGAAATCAGCATTCCTCAAAATCAATAAAAACAGTCTCGGGATATGATGCAAACCTGCACTAATTAAATATGTTAAATAACACAGATGTCCTGTATTTATTTAATTCCATTTTAGTAATGCAACCATACTAATAGAGCGGCACTCTGAGAGACTCTGCTCGTGTTTGTGTTGCAGTGCAACTAAATGGAGCCATGTCCAAGGAACAGCTGTACAACACTGTGTACGGAAGCATTCTGAACCGCATCCAGAACAATCTGCCCTGAACAAAGGTGTGCGCGTGACCTTCTGATGTCCGGTGTGTCGTTCGTTCTCCGTCGTGTTCCTGATCGTCTGCTGTCTGTGTT